AATAATAAAAAATAATACTGATAAAATAAAAATACTAAATAAAGAATAAGAAAAAAATTTCTGAGCGTAACAACGTACGTAACCCGATAATCTTAATAATACTGTAATATATTGAATATAGAGATCGTTTAAAGCCGTGTGCGTTAGAATTATTTTTTGGATGCAGTTTAGGTTACTTTTTGGTGCAGTTAGGGTTAGTAGTTTGTATAGTATCAAGAATATAATTTATACAATATAAAGATCAATCAATATATTAAACGCACACAGTTTTAAACGACGCCATTAATATATAATTTATCACATCAAAGACGCTAGATGTGATCGTCGATTTTGCGTAATCACGACATTTGCCATGACTAATCGACTTGCAATTACATCATTGTCTGGTGATCAAAGCCTACAGTTTTTTTATTTTAGTCTTTGACGATCATTCATCATTCTGGTAAAAAATTTGAAAAAAAAAAAAATTATTAAATGTCAAGAAAACAGGTTAATAAACCCAAAGAAAACTTTTTAAAAAGTTTCTAAAATTTTTTATGTTGTGTTCCTGCTTCTAATATGTTGAAGAAACGATCGTTCGATTGTATAAATCAATAATGCATTTATACCAAACGTTTTATTTCTCATGTATGGTTTAAACATGATTCAACAGAAAATGGTTTATGAATTCAAAGTGGGATAGTAATTTCAATGGTGAATGGATTCATAACTTTAATATTAAGCTCGTAGGAAGAAGATCGTCTGATTGACTAAATGTAAATCAATTGCCAGGGTAACTTATTTATTCTGTATAATACGAACTAGCTGCAAATTCCCGGGACACGGATGAAAATGCATTCAGCGCACAACTTAGAATTCAATTCATGAGGACTATCATACTTATAGCTACTTCGCAATACTTTTATTTGCATCTGGTGAAGTGTATTATGCTCTTGATACAATCTCTATCGAGTTGTATAGTTGGTTAGGTTCGTATCCTTGACCTTTTTATTGCATTAAGTAAATGGAAAACAGTTCAATTTCAAAATTAAGGTGTAAATCTGGATCATAATTACTGTTTTTTTATGACAAATACGAAATTGAATATGTGGCCTAAATGTTCTGACAGGAATGGATTCAGTTGTTCCAATTTTTCTAGCAGGCTCGAAGGCAGCGTTTGGACTTGAATTTAGTTACTATCATCTAATAATAGTAGCCTTATTTAGGTTATAAACACACCAAACAAACTAGATTACTTTTATTTAGATCAACGAATTATAAAACTTGATACCGGTAAACCGTACGTAATTTCTTTCTCTAGTAAACCAATCCGTTTTTAGTATGTACCATAGATATAATCACCTGAATAATAATGCTAATCGTCTATTTCCATTTTAGAAATTCGAAACTCAGAGAGATTGTGAGATCAGAAGAACATATTAAAGCGCCCTTAATGGTGGCAGTGCTGGGCTTTTAAACTGTGCTATGCATCATTTTAAGTTTTATTCACTAATTGAAAATGACAGGTCAGTTCTTGACGTACATACTAGGATTTCTGCAAGTGAGGCCGTTCTCAAGCGTCAATCTCAATGTGATTAGCAAGTGATCGTAATAGTGCTCAAGCAGAATTATATTTACAAAAAATTTTTGCTGAAAATTTGAATACGCAATTTATGACGTAATTGAATCTTCTCAAGCATCAATTTCAATGTGATTAGTGAGTGATCGTACTAGTGCTCATTTATTACGATCAATCAAAATAATTACCGTATAGTTCCGAAATTAAGCACCACCGACAGTTGGTACCTCTCCAAAAATAAGCACCCCCACGTTTTATATTAGTTTTGCTTCTCTGATTTCACATTAATAAATTTTAATGTTTTAAAATTGTTCGTTGAATTGCTATAAAAGAGTTATCGTATCAGG